TGTGTGTGTGTGTGTGTGTGTGTGTGTGTGTGTGTGTATATATATATATATATATAGCAGAGGATAGGATTGTTGTACCCACATACACACATACTTATAGCAGATGGACAAGTCCTGCACTGGTTGGTAGCGCTGCCATGGACTATCGGGGCTGTGCAGTGCCACTGCGGCGGTGCGATGTGACAGCGGATACACTCGACTGCAACTGAGTAATAACGCCATATCTGCGTCTCCCTCTGCGACAATCAGAGGTGAGGTGGACATGTTATGTTGTGCATATCTCTCACCAGACATGTATTGACAGGTGTGTTACGTGCATTGGATGTGAGTGTACGGAACGGAGATTACACTCTAGGGCATGACACGTGTCGATTATACACTAATGAAGATAGGGCCACACTGTGACGACTCTGCATTCTTGCGAGCAGCCAACAGCTCTACCCCAACGTCCTTAATCTAAGCCAAGACCAGAGGTAACTACAAACATGCAAAGACCAGAAGCAGCTACATAATGCAAGGATCAGAGGAAACTACATACATGCAAAGATCAGCGGAACTACATACATGCAAAGATCAGCGGAACTACATACATGCAAAGACCAGACGTAACTACATACATGCAAAGACCAGAGTTAACTACATACATGCAAAGACCAGACGTAACTTCATACATGCAAAGTACTTGCAAAGACCAGACGTAACTACATACATGCAAAGACCAGCGGTAACTACATATATGCAAGGATCAGAGGAAACTACATACATGCAAATTTCAGAGGTAACTACATACATGCAAAGACCAGAGGTAACTACATACATGCAAAGACCAGAGGTAACTACATACATGCAAAGACCAGAGGTAACTACATACACGCAAAGATCAAAGGAAACTATATATATGTTAACTACATATATAGTAACTACACATATGAAAACTACATACATAACTACATGTATGCAACGATCCGACGTAACTACATATATGGTAACTGCATCTATACACAGACCAATTGTCACTACATACATGCAAAGATCAGATGTAACTACGACATGCAAAAATTAAACGTCGCTACGCAAATGCGAAGACCAGGTAGCTTCATATTTATGCCTAAACACGATATTTATTGACATTGAATACTGGTAAGTTTATTATTAATGGAATACATGAAATAAGGGTCACATGAATAAAAGGTGTCAATAACTAATAAGTAGTACAAATGAACCAGCTGATCTACATACTATATAACTGTAGAGAACTTGCTCCATATTTTGTGTACGTCTCTAAGATACGAATAGGAAATCACTATGTGAATGCGTGCTAGCTGTTTCAAGTTACAGATCAATACACACACGTGAGTGAGTCCAACACTATCTCCTCAATATAGTGCAGCACAACTGAAATACAGAAGAGCGCCTGAGTGAGATTGACCAGAGGACATTACAGTGTAGAACTGTGAATTAAAGTATGGCCCACTGGTGATAGAATACATACTGCTCAAGCCAGTGCGGCGTTGAATCTCCGGTCCGCTCAGCACGATAATATCCTCAGCATATCGCAACTGGACTGCTTATGTTCAATCAACATTGATAGTGAATGCACACAATAGTTAGGTATACACATCGGCATGCACGCGTCGTTGTGAGATTCCCAACAATAGAATGTGCAAGAAAATGGATCTGATATTGGGCCTGGAGTGCAACTACTTCCAACTGCTATCGTGCACAGCATATTCTTGGAGTGAGAAGGGTGTTCTTGGTTGTGTGGTGCAGTTCGTGGTAAGTACTTCCAATATATAGGCGGATGCGCTAACGTATGCAGACTATACAGACAACTCGGCACACTGTAATCGATATATTCAAAATAAGTCCTTATTATCGAAGTTATATCACTTGCACAAATATCGTGAATTTACAACAGCATCCGACGCAGATTCGTGTTACAGAATGGGGAGGATATACCCCACCCCCAACTTTGCTATTCAGTGCTTGCAATCTGTTCAACCTAACACGATATATCGGTACGTGTAATTGAAACACGCCACTTACCAGCACTGAGAGCCTTTGTGATATGGTTGGGTAGATCAACCTCCATGCTCGCAAATGAATCATCACATCATATGCATGTGTATTTTCAAGCAGATATCGGATCTTCGTAGGCTCATAGTGAAAATGCCAAAATACCAATCATAGACTCAACGGGCGTACATGTGTCACACTATAGTCTGAAGACACACTTTGATACATACAGACATATGTGACACTGATAGACGTCTATCACAAGTCCAGTGCATATATACATACATATCTGTCCCTGTTAGACCTCTTATCATAAGTCCAATACATATATACACTTGTAATACATATATTATATCACGAATAGACCTCGTATTTCAGTCCATCCGCGCACGACAGATACTTGAGTCTTGAGTCTTGACTCCTCACTCGTCTTGTGAGCCTTCGAGCTTGACATTCGAGAGTGGAAAACTGAAAAGCCAATGCCGCTCGTTCATGATGAGTCATGACTCATCCTTCCAAGACTCCAAGACTCGAGAGGGACCTCACCCGGCGAAATGGTAAATACTTAAGCCCTCTGGATATATAGCTGACTTAGTAAACGAGTATGTAGAACACGACTACTTGCATTTGCGCCGTGTTTCCGCCAGGCCGGTGTTGGTAACTGTCGGTAACAGGTAACCCTCACGCCTAAATTGTGTCTGAGGACCGATGAAAAGAGGTTATTATTCCTACAACAACAGTATAGCTTCAATCAAGAAAGCTAAGAGCAATTTTAAAAAACTACCATATAGGTCTCCCCGCCACCAGTCAATCATGAATTTCCACCGGTTGCACCCTTTCTATTCCACACGACATGCACCTCCATTCTTCTGATTTCGTTTCTAGAGGACACTTTAGAAAGAATAAGGTTTCAAGTAAAGTAACGACCCGGCGGGAAATAAACAAAAGTAAATAGCTGAATACAATATTCCCCCAAACGAACGGTTACCATTCAGCATATTTGCTTATTTTAATAATTAACCATATGGCGGTTATAGAAATGCGGTGTGATTGTATTTGCGTGCAGTCAGTGTTTATGCTGTATACTGTATCGGTGTTTATGTGTGCTATATATGTGCAAGTAAATCAACTCAGCTAATCACAAAGTACAAAATACAAACTACTTCTAGCGTGTCACGATCGAGATTTTTTAACAATCAACATTCAACATTCAACATCCGAAACCAATATTCAACGCACCGATGTCGACACATCAGGCTTCCAAGAAGTCTTCTAAAAGTTCTTCATCTAATATCTCATCAACCAAGAGTACTAAGCGCACTGCAACGAATACCTCTGCATACAAGGACTCTGTATCCAAGAACTATGCACGCCCAAAGAGTTTAGGTGGTAGACCTACGCACGATTCAATGTTATATGACAACAAGGCGAGTGGTGGCGAAATAATGTGTAACTGTTGTGAGTAGTTATGGTCAGCTGGGAAGCAAGCAAAACGGCGCGCGAGTCATCTTGCTGTGTACGAAGATGTAGATGAAGAGGTTCGCGCGCAGTGTATAGCCCAAGGGGTGAGTGCAGGGCCCGTAGAATCAGAGAAGGTCACATATGTGGGTAGAAAGACAGCGATGATCGTAATAGATGATGGCAAAACGTACGAGCTTAAATCAAGCGTACTACCTGATGTTGCGAAGTTTCCTTTGAAGACGGATAAGTATAAGAAGAAGTAAAAACAGCACACCTCATGCTCGGCAGTAAGTATGTAAACCGAAATAGACCTGGCTATTGCAAGATATTTCACACGAAATGCTCTCACTCTGAGCGGTTGATAGACACTCCAACTTTCAAGGGCTAGTCAATGCCATTAGGGCTGCACCAAAATCACATACATAACCACATAGACACACAAACTATTCAACGACCTAATGCCGACACTATATGAGATGGCGAAGTCGACTGTGAAATGATCATGAAGGCCGCTTTTCCGCTCTGTGGAAGTACAGTAGCGGCAGATGATGCTAAAGTTTTCAAGGAGGGTCTCATTAACGCAGTGGTCAAACCCGGTGATAGATCCACTTCATTGCCAACATGAATATATAATACTAAAGTGTATACACTGACAGGCCAAATCAAAACCAAAGAGTGGAATGCTTCAGTGATATCCACTATGATACAATCACTTCCGTACAATAGGAAGTATGTATTCCTATTTGTATCGAACACTACTGGTAGTATGTTACATTGTTGGCCAATGATTGAAGAAACTTTACCGTGGATATCGTGTTTGAATCTGGGGCTTGCAACTGTTTGCAAAATCAAGAGCGTAAAGAAGATCCTCGATTGATGCGACGCAATCACATATTTTTCTTGGAACAACGATTAATATATGTCGAAAATTAATGCATACACCATGAAGCGGTCGGGCAGACAGATACGACCGTTATAGACTAACTCTAAAACCCTAAAGCTGCTACATATCGGCTACCGACTTTTCAATCTGAAAGGAGGTATATGTGCTATTATATTTTTGAGAGAACGGAGAGACAAGAACGAGAAACTGGAGATTATCCGGAAGATTCAATAAGGGATTGTTGAAGAGTGGTGGGATATGTTGGAGAATACTTCAAACATTCTATTGCCGATATTGATGTTACTACGACTATACATATATTATATATACACATATTATATTTATATATATATATATTATATATATATATATATATATATATATATATATATATATATATATATATATATATATATATATATATATATATATATATATATATATATATATATATATATATATGTATGTGCGCGTGTGTGTATATATATATATATATATATATATATATATATATATATATATATATATATATATATATATATATATATATATATATATATATATATATATATATATATATATATATATATATATATATATATATATATATATATATATATA